TCCGATTTCAGCAGATATCACTAGGATAGGAAGGAGACTTGTATGGCAGCGCAATTGATTGTTATGTAAACGTATTGTAAATCTATAGGAAAGTGACATATTCAATGGTCTTTTGAACGAAATGCAAATGATTACAGAATAAGTTGAACCATTTAATTAACAAAGGCGAGTGTCCAAAAATGTAACTCTTGATCTCGTTATATATAACTCGTTCATGTAATCGCAAGTGTTACGTATCGGAATGAAAAAGTGAACTCGTGAAAATATATTATACAAAGTGCTCTCGTAATATCTTCCGATATTTACTAAATCGTATTACGCGGACCTCTGTGAGGGGAAGATTGTTCATCGTGACAGTTCCGCTATAAATTAGCCTGGCTTACTTACGGTATCGCGCATTCTTGAATCATGTTAACACGTTGAATGCTGTGCTGATTTCCATTGATCAATGTCTAACTGATGATTTTACATCATTAAAGGCACAATAAACACATATAATTCATGTATCTCTTACCTTATCTCATTGGATTATTATCAGCGGTATAGCCCATTTCGTAATTGTAATTAATTATATTTTACACGCAACTTAATAATATACGATAATATCATAATGTCAGTCACTGATGATCCCCACGGCATTCAACGTGTTAAAGGATTTACCCAAAAGCTTCGTTAACTTGTCGTGTAATTCCTCCAAAGAGGAAAACAGCGGCGTGTTACGCGGTAAGTGCGCAAACGTCCTTGTCGCGAGGACTTCGGACGGTGAATGATCCATTTTCAGTCGGAGAGGCCCAAAGGGCCGATCGCCCTACGTTTGTGACCCATCCGTGTAAAACTTCAGATAAATTAGCTTCGATCTAACTTCCTGTCCAGTGACTGATTTTTTTTCTCGAGTGAAACGCCATGCAAGACAGTGTCAAACTAGTGCGAAGATGCACGAGCTTGCGCGAGATACGAAGTTATCTTTGCCACACGTATTAGAGGTGCTTCGTTAATAAGTTCTCGCTAATGAGATTGCATCTTTGCTCAGGATTCGGATGACCGTGTACATCGATGATATCTCGCACACTTAGTAAAATAATGTAACTCGGAAAGTTTGTTCTTCTCGGGAAAAAATGACTATATATGAATTTATTTCTATATATCCATATATATTGAACATATGTGTGTGTGTGTGTGTGTGTGTGTGTGTGTAGAAGATCTCCCACTTTATTTTTGACAGTCAAATATCTCAAAAACATGGGAGATACGGAAAAATGTTTCAGAAAGTTATACGGTACCAAGGGGAACAAATGATAAAATTAATAACAAAAAATTTTTCAGGAACATATGAAGATCATTTTTTTAAATGGAATGTGGTATTTTTTCTTAAAAAAATCTCTGAAAGAGCACTTAATTTTACGTAAAAAAGTATTAAGATACCTTTGGCCTAAACTTATTATGTAAGGAGATACTTCATGAAAAAGAAAAACGAAAAAAATCTCTATTGAACAATGTATACGCGCGTAGTTCCCTTCTTACGGCTAAATTCAGGACCACGGACGAAAACGTAGGGTAACAACTGTCTTGCGCGTGCGCACCTAGAGATTACGACTCTATAGTTCGTTAGTTCCACAGTATTTTAAGACTCTAAACTCTCTCTGGTGTTTGTAAAATCTTAGTTTAATAGTTGTTCAATATTGACACCGTTAATTTGAAAAGAAGGTTTCAGACAAAAGTTGTAAGATTTACGAAGATGCATTGAACGATAATATCCGTTTGATCTTTGGTAGCGTCACCAAGGTCAAGACAAGGTCAACTTAATTATTTTAAATAGAATTCTCTATTTTTTTTATTGCACATTATTGTAGTTGACGACGAGACGTTTTCATTATGGTACAATAAGTCCCAATTTCGTTAAGTATTTTTCGAGTTATTGGTTGATTATTTCAAATATCACCGGCAAAAGCGTTATCATAGGTATACTTCGTGGAAGTTACATCTATATTCTTTATTTTAAACTCTTTTAAATTCTTGTAACAGATCTCAAGAGCTTCCTAAAATATATAATGAAGTTTATTTTCATTAAGTATTGGATTGGAAGGAAAGTAATGTCGTATTTTTAGTTCAAAAAATTGAAGGAAGTGTTATATTGATATTTAATTTATATTTTATTGGAGGAAATTTTATTTATATTTAAAAACAATTTCAATCAATAATATAACGGCCATTGTTTTCTATAATCTTTTGCCATCTTTCGAGCGCCTGCATAATTCTTCACGCGTAAAACTCTGGCGTTTCCTCAGCGAAGATCTACCAAAGATGGTTTTGCAGTTCCCCAAAGAAGTGAATGTCTTACCATTAAGGAAGTTTTATAACAATCGGAACAAGTAATCCGAAGAAGCAATATCTGATGAATATGTTGGATGCGGTAAAACATCCCAGCCGAGTTGCAGTATTTTTTCACAGGTGGTTAAAGAAATATGAGGCCTCGTGTTGTCCCGATGGAATAAAATACCCCTTTTATTCACCAGGTGTTTTTCTGCAGTGGTTTGGCCAAATGGATCCGAATTAAGCCGTTCTTTGGAAGAAGCTCATAATATACCACACCTTTCCAGTTCTATCAAATACACAGCATGACCTTCTCCGGATGAAGCCTAGTCTTTGAAATGGTCAACGGCTTTTCTGAACGTTTTCCCCAGGACCGTTTGCGCACTGCGTTGCTGTAGATAACCCATTTTTCATCGCCCGTCATGATTCATTAAAAAAATGGGTCGCTTTTTTTGCGTTTAAGTAACGAGTCGCAAATGGAGATGTGATCGATTCAATTTTTTCCAGACAAATCATGCGGCATCCAAATATCAAGACGATTCACGTATCCCACCTTATGCGAATGCTCGATAACGGTTGTATGTAATAAGTGGAATATCTGCAATCTCCCGTGTCGTGTACAGTTGATTCTCGATTAAAGTCTTGATTTGGTCGTCATCAGCAACAACCGATCGACAGCCGAGCGCTCCTCATCTATGAGTGTCATATCACCAACACGAAACTTCTCATAAACCATCTCTGGCACATACGTTCTGTTACGGCATCCTCTCCATACACAGCACATATTTTCTTTTCCGTTCGCGTTTTTCCCTTTACAGAAGTAGAACAGCACCAAACAACGAAAATGCAGCATGTTTCGCCTTATTTTTCTCTCAATCTTAAGCGAACACAAACGCTTTCACATACATTCTCCATAAATGATGCTTACAAGGGAAGGGCCTCAGCTGTTTTATCGTTTTCGATTTAAACTCTATGCAGAAATATTGTGGGTGAAATCAATAACATATTCTATAAGTTACAGCCCCTATCTTTGCGTTAAAAAAAAAATGGCAGTATAATAACCTCCCCATGCAGGGTGTCCCAAAAATCTGGAAACGATCGAATATTTCATAAAAAATATATATTAGAAAAAAATGTACGCCCACTAAGACAAATATTTATTCAATATCAGTTACAAATGAGCAGCAAGTCAGTAATCGACTGGATTAACTTCTGTCGTGAGGTACATTGTACAAATATAAAATTAATATAGAATTATTAATTATAACAAAATTATATAATATTGTGTTTTAGTTATTACATTTATAGTTGCATCAGAATAATATACAAATTGGTGGTCCTGGAGTAATTGTCGAGACAAAAATAGGGAAAAGGAAATATAACCGCGGAAAAATATTGCAAGGACAATGAATATTTGTAGAAAGGCATTCTAAACGTATACTTATATATCCGGTACCTAGTAGAACAACAAGGACACTTCTGTCTATAATAAAAAAGCATATATTGCCGGAAACCATTACACATAGTGATGATTGAAAAGCTTATAACGCTTTACAATACAAAAATTATTGTCATTGAAAAGTTAATCATAAATTTTGTTGATCCTGACATAGGCGTACATATACAGAACATTGAGAGGACATGGCGCGACTTACGCAGTGGGATAACAAAGTACGAGATACGCCAGGAACATTATAATTATTATATAGCTGAATTTTTTTTTAAAAGATTATACCGATCTTGACGAACTCATTGACAATTTCTTTAATGTAACGGCTCAATTATATTCTATACAAGAAATTATTGAAAATGAATAGTAAAAGTTGATTTTTTATATTTCTGTGCGTATTATTACTTTGTTTATAACGTTGATTTGTTAAGCTTGTTTATAACTAATAAAAAATAATAATAAAAATAATAAATAATAAAAAATAAATGAATGAATAATAAAAGTAAGTAAATAATAAATTTGGATTTCTTTATATATTTTTCTATGTATCATTACTTTGTTCATAACTTGTTTAAACAATTGCCGCCGGCTTTTTTTATAGTGGAAGTTGTTTGAGAGCGTGATTTTGACAATATATATCAAAATCAGAATCGTTCTGAGTTGTTCTTCCAAAATATTTACCACGCAGAGGTTGCCCGGTCAGATTTATACGTTTTGTGTGTGTATGTGCGCGCGCGCGCATGTTTAAAAAAATTCTTAACCAAAAGAAACTTTGTTATAGTGTTCTGAAAACGTCTCAACATAGGCTATAAGAGTATGCAATAAAAAATAGAGAGTCGCGTTAAAAAAATTTAACTTGACTTTGTTCTGACCTTGACGATGCCATCCAAAGTCAAACTGATAACATCAGTAAATAGATCTTTTTAAATCCTACAACTTTTATTCGAAACACTTTTCTGTAAAACTTATATTTCTCGAGATTTCTCAGGATTTCCATACTTTTTCCTGTATATACAGATAATAAAATTTATCACAGAGAGTAATACTTTTTTGTAAGCGTGGTAGGACACATTCGTTGCATTACGAATGAAAAGTTACGTATACGTTGCATTTGCGACGATTAAATATATTGTTATATGGATTTTTCATTGCGATCATTCGTAACTTGCCATTTGCGAATATGCAACTATTTCAAGAATAGAGACCTAGCTATAAAAACGGACGGATACGAATGATTTACCGGAACGTTTGTTGACTGCGGTGTTGATCATGGAACCGAGTTTCGTGAGGCTGGACTGCCTCATGATGTTGGAAGGGCTCTTCATCCGTTTGGACGGTGGTACCGAAAGCGGGACGGTCTTGGCCCGTGCCAGGATGGTACCACCGTTCCGGCAATTGCCGTTTGGACTCGAGCCGGGGGGCCGCTGAGGCGGACCCCCCCATAAACCCACAACCCCCGCGTGACGCGTGGTGACACCTCGCTGACCTCAGTTTCCCAGCTGGCTGTTAGCCTTTAGTCCATCTTCGTCTTGTCTTGCTGTCGTCACTGTAAAATGAAAATCTCTCGTTTACGTTTCTACTTTACATTTTTTTCCAATATCATAATATAGAGACGAAGCTCGAATAACTCATCGTCTTGTTTTCGTAATTCACGCGTAATTTACGCTCATTCTTCGTTCTAACGATCTAACTTTTACTTGACTTGTGAGTAATGCGATCGATCTATTTCCGTCCTTTTCGAAACAACTTGCAGGAAGGATATATTTGTTCCCCCACAAGCTTCGTTATGTATACTCAGGCATAAAAGTATAAACAGGAAAGCTTAAACATAAAGATTTAAACATCTTTTTTCGATGTGTTTCGAAACCGGTATCTAAGAGATGAATTTACTCTTCAGTAATTCTCAGAAGATACATTTTTTGTTGGATATAAACGGGGATGTTAAAAAAATCTATTTTTTCCTAGAAAAGTATTAATGAAAGGAATAGTGTTTTTTGTCAATTTTGACATCCTGGCTATGATAAAGCTAAAAAATTTGTGTTGATTCGGAAACCTCGAGAAAACTGAACAAGAGTATTTAAAGACATTCGAATGATGTATTGAGCCACCACAAATGCACAACGCATCTATGTGAGTCTTTTTAGGAGGAAGGAGCGTGGGAAAGAAGAATGTTTTGTACGTGTGTAAGACAAGATGTAACAACAGTGTGCAAGAAAGGAGAGACTTGAATAAGTTATATAAAGTCGAATAAAAGGGACTACCAAAAATGCTCATTAAGCAAATTGATGACAAACTGCGCACAGATTGGCACCAAATTTGATCGAAATCCCATATCGAAACCATAGCCATCTATGCTCGTATTCAGCTCGTGTTTTGGCGACAGAGTCTGCTGACAGGCAATCCGAGCAGATTGGCAGCAGAAACCGCGCAAATCCTGCAGTCAAATTGCACGCAGCAAAATCTGTTCAGCTTCTGCCATCAATCTGTTGTCAGATCGCTATAGGCTTTGCTCAATTTCTACCGCCAATCTGCTTGGATTGCTTGTCAGCAGGCTCTGTCGCATTTTTAGCAGCAGATTCGCAATATAATCTGATAGAACAGATCCTACATTAGATTTGTTGCCTTTTTACTATCAAAAACTTATGGCAAGCTCTGCTCGAAATTTGTTTGCGTAGGTTTGGTTATACGGGACACATCGGATGAAACGGAAAGCGTGTTTGTATTTGGAGAAGAAGATAAAAGAGGGAGATAAAGAAAGTTGTGTGTTTGTACGTTTGTAAGGGAGAAAGTTGCGTGCGTTTCAGCCGCAAACTTCTACATACAAGGTGCAGCGCTAGAATCCGGACAAAATTCAATTTGAAATTCTCGCAATATTATATTGGGAGTACAAATTAGTTCGGTCCGTTTTCAAAAGATGGCTCTGACTGTTATGAATGTTTCATAGTGACAGCTGATTTCGGTGGTTTCAGAGAGGTTAGACATCTGTCAATAATATTCAGTTTATATCGCATTGAGTTTCATACAAAACCCCTGCTTTTTACTGTGTTGAATATGTCGAATTTTGTGTTAACTAAGCAGCATTTGCGGGGGGTTTTAGTTTTCTGCTTTAATTGGAAGAAAAGTGCAGCTGAAGCGCATTGAATGCTTGTAGAAGTTTATGGTGACAATGCTCCAACTGATAAATCATGCAGGGAATGGTTTCGACGTTTCAAAAACGCTGATTTCAGCGTTGAAGACAAGCCTCGCTGTGGACAGCCAAATAAATTCGAAGACAAAGAATTGGAGGCATTACTCGATGAAGATCCATTACGATTCCATTACGGGCCATCGGTATAGGCTACAATTGATTCGTTTGAACCGTGCATTACGAGAAAAACGGCCGGAATACGAGCAAAGACATGACAGAGTTATTCTTCTGCATGATAACGCTCGGCCTCATGTCGCAAAAGTCGTAAAAAATTATTTGGAAACGCTCAAGTGAGATATTTTACCGCACCCGCCGTATTCGCCGGACATTGCTCCTTCTGATTACTGGTTGTTCCGACGGATGCAGCACGATTTGGCAGGTCACCGGTTCACTTCTTTCGCAGAAATCGAAAATTGGCTCCTAACTTGGATCGCTTCAAAAGACGAGACATTTTTTCGAGATGGAATTCGAAAATTGCCTGAGAGGTGGGAAAAAGTAGTAGCCAGCGATGAACGATACTTTGATTAACCTGTTCATTCACTTTGTTCTGAAATAAATGCACTTTTGACCACAAAAAACGGACCGAACTAATTTGTACTCCCAATAGCTCCGCCGGAGGCGCCACTAATGCAAACCACATACATGAGTAAGATGTTCATAATCTAAAAATGACGAAATACGTGAAGAATGGTACAGAGAATAATCGAAGAGCAACAATCACGGAAAGCCTTGCGACGGACACCGCTTGATAATCAAGTTCTTCGGGTATTCCACATGATCTTAAAGTTTGTATATTTCTCTTCAATTTTTTTTTGTGAATTCTGTACGATTTTTCTTTTGACCGAGTTATCAGCTATTGAAGCAAAAACTGTACCTTAGAATTTAAACGATCCTAACTCGGGAACAAATCGCAGAACATCCACTATAGGATCATTAGAAAGCTAAAAGTCTCCCCCATATGATACTCTTATTGAATTTTTCTTTTGAGATCTTTTTCATGTTGTAAAATCCATAAAAAAAAAACGAGTTTTTCCAATTTCTCACTTAGCTTGGTGCCACTCTGTAAAAAACGGTTTAATCCTTTGAATATTCACATTTCTGTTGAATCAAATGTACTTCAAATGCTCGTACAAAGACTCCAATTGCTGAGATTTTTCTTTCCATAAGTCCCGAAGGCAAATCCATCATAATGCACGAAAAAATCAAGGATTATCAAAGATTATCAAGGATTTTGCTTTAAAAAAGCAAAGGATTAGAAATTTCAAAATATTTCCCATCTCACGTGATGCTCGTTTTTTGCTCAAGAAAACAAGTTGAATTCATGATAATATTCTCAGCAAAAAACACAAAGGAATACCGTCACGCGGAATAGCGTATATGTGTGTGTTTGTGTTTTAAAAGCGAGTGTTGCCACCTCTATTGTGCAAAACCGCCGTCAAGCGGTCATGCATGTTAATGCACCGCCGTATCTCTACTTGCGAAATTCGTTGCCAAATTTGAGGAAGTGCTTGCGCTAACTCCTTCAAATTCGACAACATCCTGTCGCAAATGACACTCGACCATGTCCCAAACATGTTCGATCAAGTTCAAGTCAGGGCTTCTTGCCGGAATGATTTAAAACAGCGGTGGTTCTCCAAAAACCTGCGTGTATGGTGTGCGATATAGCAGAGAGCACTATCACGCATTGAGAAAAACCGATGGCCGATCCAACGACGAAATTGACAAAACGCGTACGACCGCAAAATCTCATTAACGTATCGCCTTATAGTAAGACCAGGTGATGGTCAGGATGATGATCAGAGGTGTGCGAAAGTTCTACGATATGCCGGTCAAAATCATAACAAAACTCCCTCATGGTATTTGGTCGCTGGTCTACTGCGATTTTGGTTATATCGTTTTCCACTGCGACGCCAGACGCGTAGATGGCTGTTGTTAACATAGAGAATGAAATGAGACTTATCTGTACGTGATTTCACTGCCTTCATTCTCTAATACATACCGAGATGCACATTCGTATCAAGCTGGTTGATGCTCACGACTGAACATTGGTACGCGATCAGCACGATAGGAAGGATCGTAAGGAAGTGTTTTGCAATCGGTTTCTTACCGTTTAATCTGAAATGGGATGACGGAATTGCTGTTCGTGCTGTTAGTTAATTTGCCGCGAAATGGTATTCGCAACAATAAAGGGATCTTGCCAAGCGTACCTGACAATTGACTTGTTCTCTTTGAAAGTCGTCACACGTCTTCGACCTTGGACCCCTGGACGTCAGTGGTACTCACCAGCTTCTCGAAATCAAGTGAAAACTCGACTTACGACGGACTAACTTACACCCGTGACGTCAGCAACGTGTCGCTGAGTGTGATCTTTCAAAAAAGTTATAAGTCGCATAACTTTTACGTCAATTAACTCTCGTCGTTTGAGAAAACTGATTCGGCTGAGGTTAAACAAGTATTTCGGGAGAATAGAACAAGTTCTCGAAGGTAGTTTTCTCTGCTTCACAGGAATGTTGTTACGAAGCGTTTGGCAAAAAACAATGGGCTGCAAATTCGCGATGAGCTGACATCGAAACTCGATCGAAAGGAGGGGGAGAAACGAATAGATGAGGAAGCTCTGTCCAATAACAGAAGGTCCGAGATCATCGCAAAATTGCCGATATAAGAAAACGTTAGTTTTACGATGTTATTCGAAAAGAAGCATCTGAAGCACTGTATCCTTTTTGTAATTCATTTGAATAAAAATGCTGCTCAATCTACCGGAATGATTTGTTCTGCTTTGGGTAAAAATGCTGTGACCCACGAAATTTCTATTGCTGGTAAAAAGATCTTTTACCAGCGATAGATCTAGGCAGGTGATTCTACTGTACGATAACGCGCGGCCGCACAACGCGGACGTAGGATCTCATCTATACATTAGGTCGAGAAATTCTTCCTCATGCGGCTTATTCGCCAGATCTAGCCTCGTCGGATTACCACCTATTTTAGTCACTTCATCTGGCGGATCCGCATTTTAAAACAGTTGACTGGGTCCGAAAAGAGATTGATGATTTTATCGAGTCAAAACCGTTAAGTTTTTGCCGCGAGGGTATTCATTAGCTACCCGATAAACGGGGTAAAGTCATAGAAAATAATGAAAATTATCTCGAACATTAAACTTGTACTTGACTTTTTGTAAATAAACTTTGAATTTCATGGAAAAAAAGACATCGAATTAATTTGTACACCTAATAAACGCAGTGATAACAGTGTTGTGTTAGAAAAATTCGATAATCACGTATTTATAGCAAAATTCCTATTCAGGACTACTAATAAGTTGACTTGTTAGCGCGTTAACATTGTTGTAAGCGGTTTCTCGCGGTACCCGGGCGCATCGTATTTTTCGTGCAAACGAATTCCAGTCGTACCACTATATGAATATCGTTCGGAAAGCTAAATTCTGAATACGAGGGGGGAGATTAGGGATTGAAATTTGACCAATCAGAACAAAATTCACTAAACTCAAGTTTAGCTAATTGCTCTAATTGGTCAAATTTCAACCCAATCTCAATCCTAATTCGTAGTATGTAGCAGGCCTAAAGTTTCGCACGTGTTTCGCGGTAGTATCGCGACGGTGTATCGATAACTCGAAGTTTCATCGTGCTATCTGGCGCTAATTGGAAACTTTTCAAGCGACCAACGTCGATTATGATTATTACGAATCGTCCGACATGGATTTTCACGACCGGGAATGATTCGAAAATATTTGCGATAAATACTCACGCGTTAATGAATTTCGAAATGAGAATGTACGCGATATTAAATTGTTTAATTTCACACGAAGTTAAACGCTAAACATTGGAGAAGAAAGAGCGCGAGGGGGGGGNGCTTGGGAGGAAGGGAGAGTTTCGAAACGTTGCGAATAGGGAGGAACGATATCGATAATTTTGTGTGTCGCGAAAGAAACCAAAGATCATAAATATTATTACGCGTTATCTACATCATCGTACAAAACGACTGGCGGGAAAGACTCTGCGCTTCTTCCCCTACCCTGATAAAAAAAAAAGACAAACAGGAAGGATGCTCTCTGCTGCGACCTTCCCAATCGCGTATCTAGGTTAAACGAAATCGCTGTCGTTATCGTCGCCGTCACCTCTAACCTGATAGTTTCGGAAGGAAAATCAGAAACGAGAGAGAGAATCTGGACTCACCGTGAGAATAACGAGTCCCATCGGTGAAGCGCCGTGATGTCGCGATCGTGGCGTTGTCGCACCTAGTCAAGAGCAGAGGAGTTCTCGCGTTGGGACGCGCGCATAAGGGCGACTACGTGCTACCAAGCAACGCCGTACGACTGGAGATTCGCGATACAAACCCACGTAGTATTCTCTCCCTCTTTTTCAGCTGCACGCACCGTTGTGACCACGCAGCACAGGTGTTGTTTTCAGGAAACGATGCGTGCCGTACACACGCGACACGAATTGACACACGCGTGACTACGTCGCTCTCTCACACAGGCAGCTTACCGGGCTGAGCGGTGGTGCCGTGATGTCACGACAAAGACGACGAAAAGCCATCCGTCGTCTCGCACGAATTGGTGTTTACTACTGAGTGCACTCGCACCGCCGCGCCGTGTCGCGCCGAGTCGTTGCCGCGCCGCGTCGCGTCGTTTTCACGAGTTAACGCGAATACAACACGGCACGAACTGTCAGCCGAGTGCAACAGTTGCGTTCGAACTCGACGGAGGTTCTCTTGAATATTTCGTCAGCTACGCTGACGTATGTGTCGAAGTAATCGGGAACGGAGTTGATAAGTAAAAAACGGAGTAAAGAACAAAAAGAGGATCGCATTTCGTATGAGCGGATATAAGCCCCACTCTTGCGACCGAGAGAAAAATCTCAGATAACCTAACCTGCAGAAGCAAATTTTGTGCGATACCTGCTGTTCAATTTTGTCGGCAGCTTGTTAGCAAAAATACAACAGAATCTGTTAGCAGAGTGTAGTGATAAATTGACGGCGGATGCCGAGCAAGATCTGTTGTTTCGTAACCGTTTAAACGAAACATACTACAAATCTTGCAGTTTCTGCCGCCAACCTATTATCATGTCGGCCGGCTCTCTCAAAAAATAACGGTTCCAGACGACCCTAAGGCTGTTTCCCTACACCACTCAAATGTCAGCGGGCTTTGCCGATAGAACACGAACTTAAAGGTGCTATTTCATGCAGCGAAGAAAAACCAGCGTATCACTACCACTCTACTGACTTTCGCTAAAGTAGCCATACAGCGAAGGCACGCTTAAAGTTCGATATTGTTCAACCAACGACTAATGAAGCAACGTTGGAAAACGAAGTGATAGAGCCGGGACTCGAAAGTACAAATAACATTTTTATCGAGAATACTGAAGAATATTAATAATATAATCATATAATTATGTACATATATAATCATATATATAATCCATTTTTGTAGTCAACATGGTTAATGACACTAGTTCGTTTTTTAATTATTTATGCAATGTTTATGTATAAAACAGCTAAAAAGCCAGTGTTCTTCCTTTCTTTATAGTAGGTAGGAAAGCTAGCGAAGACACACTCCATGAAAAGGAAACAAATGAACAGCGACAGCTTTTCAACGTTGCTTTGCATTATAATGGGGATAATACGCTGACTTTTCTTCGCTGTTTGAAATGGCACCTTAATGCGAACACAAACGGCTATGGATCTGCCATGGTATTCCCATCGAATCTGGCCAATCTGCCGGCATTTTAGTAATTATTTATTAGGCTAGTACACCAAATGAGATCTTTACAGCGATTATTTGATATATGTGCCAAACAGTAATTTTGTGCTACGTTATCTTCATTTCGGTGATATGAACGATAGTGTACCAAATTAATACTATACATATCTAATGCTTAACGTGTAGCAGCTTGGTATACCGTCGTTTGCATGAACCATCGAAATTAACATATTACAGCCGTCTACGGTAAACTTTTACATTAGATTGCCCCCTTCGGATGACCCTTAATAACCTTCACAAGGTTTTGGCCGTCGCTCTTTGTTACTTAAAAAGTTATAAATAAAACAAGTTTCATTAATACTATGTAGTTTTGCGATAATACGTTAAGGTTGTTGGTTCCTCCCTGCAGCTATCCTTGTTTGATGACGTCAGAAGCAAGGAAATGATGTTAAGAATTCTTGCGTTATACGTTGAAATAAAAAGATATATTCACAAAATAACATTTGTGATCGATTCAGTATACTTGTGAAATTGTCCGTGCACTTTTCTTTTACTCGAACAAGCGATAAATAGTTGTAAAATTAACATTGACAAAATCATGACAAAAGAGGTTAAGATGAATGGTTCCGCGTCAAATTAATTTTGCGGTTATTTATTGATTGAATAAAAGTGCACGAACAATTTTAATGCAAGAATTCTTGACATGCGTTTTCTCGCTTCTAACGTCACCAAACAAGAATAGTTACAGCGAGGGACCAGGATGTAATGTGCACACATAAATATGCATGGTATGCGCGTGAGAGAGTGGCTCTACCCCTCCCCAAATTAATCTAACTTAACCCAACTTATTTTATTCCCCTTTTATAATTAACAATGAAATAAGTTGGCTCCGCCCCTCCCCCGCGCGCGTTTACATACAAACATAAATTCTCTGTAAACGCAAGTTTAATTACTAACTAAAAGAAGTTTGAAGAATATAACATATATGTAGCTTACAAAATTTATTTACATATATATATTTTTTTTACTTAACAGAGATATGCAATCAATATGAATTTTAATGTTCGATTCCTTCATGTAACGGATACATTTGTATGAACGTTATTGTAAAAAATGAATCTATTCTATTAGGAAAATTATATAAACCTTTGAACAAGAATCCAGCGAGATCATTTTTAAAATTCATACGGTTTAAATCATATCGAGGAAGTGCGCCACGCATATCCCGCCGTAAACGTTCTATGTTTCGCGTATGTTCACCAATTGTAGGATCAACAAAATGTTGCTTGTGATCTACTGTTTCATGAGAGTAATTCAATGAATTTAATATTGAATAACCACGCCAGCAGTCGCTATAAATTGTGGTGTTCGGCCGTATTTTCTTGCAGATAATTTCCTGCGAAGTCTCTGCTGAGCGATTGGGTACCGGAACTACAAATACTTTTGGCCACGCTCGCACGCTTTAGCTATCCTCTAAAAATCCACTGGCCATGGATAATACGCCCTTTGTGATGTTTTCGTTTTCCAACTTTAGCTTCGTCTACTTCTACAATTAAACCTTCTCCGCCAAATCCTTGTTTATCTTTATACAACCATTATGCTAACAACTAAAATATAATAATGAAACTGAGTAGAAATATTTAATGAAAATATTTGGAGTATTCAAGAATATTCGGTACGAGTTTGAGCTTAATCACAAAATACAAATTTAAAAAAAGGAAATCACATATCATGATGTATTCGTCCACTATACACTTTCAAACTTCTATCGCTTATAACTTATTAACAAAAAACGAGCGACGGTCGAACCTTCTGAAGGTTATTGAGGATCATGACCTCTTCAGCGTATATCGAGATCATGATCATCCGAAGGGATAACCTAATGTAAAGGTTTATCGAAAATAAAGAATATAAAGTAATATTAAGCAGTGAAGCTATTCAGAAAGTTTTTAAATCCATCATTCTCGACATTAAAAAAAAATATTTAATTTTCCACTCCTTGCCAGCGTAAATTATTTGTTAATATTGTTACATATGTTGGTGACATCAACCGTAAGCTTTGCAGCACGCCACGGGATCAAGTCCTTTTCTGCTCTTAAAGGCTTGAAATTTTCAGTTAGTCGATCACCTCTGTTAATAGGTTATGTTTTGTCATAAATAGCTACAACCACAGTACATCGTTCCATTATTGCAATGCCGTAACGCGGAAGAAGCAGTAATATTAATAATAACGGAACGATCTTACCTCTCTATTTAGTGACGTCACATCGTCAGTAATTACAATGAATACCGGAATGCACCTATAGAAAATAGCTGACCGCGCGACTGAGGCATCGCGGCGATACACGAACGCCGATAAATAATCACCCGCTTAGGTCATTTTCCGCCTTCTGTTGACATCCAATATTCGCCACTGCTAAGAGGCAGTTGCACGGTCGGCCATTTTCTGTGTTCGTTACGTCGACCGAGTCGTGCGACGATCCGCATCAGGCGCGCTATTTTACCTATTTATTTTCATTAATTAAAATGTGTGAAATGCAAACTTGAAATTTTACATGGTAGTTTACAAAATGTTATTGATCTTATTTCTCACCTTGATATGTTGTACAATTTAATACGGCTCGCGCTATCCTGTATACACATACGTTTATTATACGTTTTAGTCTAAAAATTAGGAAAGTATCGAAAATATATTGATGTAAAACAGTATATAATTTAAAGAAAACAAAATATAAGCTTTCTCTGAAAAATACTTTCTTCGTGTTAAATTCATATGAAAATAGCTTTCATATAATTTCATAAAAAATATTATGTAGTCGCAAATTCGATTAAATTTACGGTATATCTTTACCGTTAAAATTAAAATAATTTTAAGTTTAACTGAATTTGAAGTATTTTACAAATACTAAAATCGGAGAAATTTAACTAATAAAGAAAATATTTGCTCCATTACATAAAGAATATCTGCACACAGATTTTGCTTTGATTTTATGAAATATGTTAATTTGTGCACGCAGATTTTAAGTTGATCTAAAAATCGTTATAAATTACTATGATATATTTCAATGAGACATGTTGGAATTCGTAAGAAAAAAGACCGTTATGTATGGAAAAAAGATATTATATTGACCAACTGTATCACAAATCTTGACTTTATTTTCCATCCATTTTGTTTTACCATTTTTTCAGAATTGCGTTTTCAATCTTTGCATTCGTGCGAATTTCCAGTTGATCGGAAACATTTGCATAATAAGCTTCAACGAGGCACACTTCTTCGTATAAATCTTCCGATGACATTTCTACGACGCTTGCACATTCATTCAATAACCATCTGAAGCTTCTCGGCAGCGTTTTCTCGAACAATTCGAAATTCTTTGGCTTCACGCGACTAAAGTTACAACGATACATCCAATAATCCTTAAATGGCCTAAATAATTTAAAAGTGTCATCAGTTTTTTTATCTAATATATAGGAGAATTTATCCATAGCTACTTCAACTATTTTTCGAGAATTCTCAGGCTGATTATCGTGTCCAACTTCAATCTTCGCAATATCATTAAACATTAATGTGTCATTCAAATTACAAATATCTAAAATCTCTGGTAATATATTCTCAATTACTTTGTGTATGTATGGATTTGCCTTGGTTTGTTCTGTACAATGTGTACGATCTTCGTTTGAATTATCAATATTTTGTTCCAAAAGGACATTGTTTTGCTTAACAAATTTACCGTCTGTACCTCTCAGGGATCGACGTTTCTGCTTCTTTTCCAAACATACATTTTTGGTCATAGCTGTTTTTTCTGTATCGGAGAGATTTAAATTATATATTTTACAAAACTTTGATAATGATGATGATTTTGCCTCTTCAAGAAAAATATCGTTTACATGAGTATCTTGAGAATCTGCATCTTTAAAATCTCCATTATCATTTCTATCTGAGATCGACAATTTACCATCTACAAAAGTCTCGTGAAATATGAATTCAGTGGGTGATACTAATGGAGGAATTTTTACATTTGTATTACAAGCCTCATCGTAATACTGTTTTTTCTTTATATCAATTTTAAGTTGACAAGGTATTTTCTTGTGTAAATAGTCGTTAAAATCTGCCTTCTGTTCATCACTTCTGATTTCCTCTTCCATATAATCATATATCTCAACACAGTCTTTCAAATCCTTTATACTGGCCATTTTCATCTGCTCGTAAAAAGGTACGGTCTTCTCAATAAAATGCAAATTTGAATCAATAAAATTCAATTGTATCTCGTAACGTCGAGCCAAATCGTAGATACTAAAAGAAAAAAAAAAAACCATATATTACGCACATAAGTATAACATTTTGGAAAACTGTATACTTACGATTCTGGTTTTGTCATATATCCAACTTTTGTAGAATAGAAATCTTTTCTAAGTATATTTGGAAGATCGTATTGTAGATGTTCTAACAACTGTAAAATATATGAACGATGTGGCGTTAATGAAGGAGCAAATACGTTTATTTCGTTCAGTGGTAAATCGATATGATTTACGTTGGTAATACACTGTTTCATCGCGTGAACAAGTTCACTCGATATTAAATGTTTATATGTGGTTATCTCAGGTTTCTCCCTGTCCGTTTTGGAATTTATCGACTCCAAAAATTTTAAATATAGACTATCAACGACTGGTATATTCAGATTATATTTCAACTTTGTGGGAAAATGCATATTAGCCAAGACGGTCCGTCTACATTCGATATGCCTTTGCCATTCTCGGAAATTGAATAATTTCGTCATATAAATACTTTCATCGTTGATTGCACTGGAATAAGTAAAAGAGAATATCTTATTTTCAATCACGAAAAATGGCAAAACAAGGTGTAATCTAACGGAAATTAATATATGGCGACGTAAAATTATCTATATTTATAAAATTGCATTAAAAATTTTTTCCAGTGTATTTTTGTTTTTTAAAGTTGCACCAAATATACGTAATTTTTCGTAATTACTACGTACAGCATGTTATCATTAGTAAAATATATACTCCATTCACTAGGTTTCTTAAATATGATACCACGAGCTACATAGTCATTTAATAGTCATTTAATAGTTAACACGTAATAAAGATTCGGTTTCAAAGCTTTCTGCAGATTATATTCTTGTTTGACATCGTTCACTATAATTTTCGATAAATCGAGTTTCATAGTGAATTCTATGTGACCTACATCACTATACCGTCCGCTTATATTAAATCTTTACAAAGCTGTAAAAATATTTTGAACTCAATTTCTTGATATCAAACTGTTTCAGTAAGTCTAATGAATTAAATTCATTTAGAAGTAAAACATGTGTATTTAATATCGCCATATATATATATATATTACAGTTTTAATTGTTAGACGACATAGTTCGTATATAGATACATACCTATTAACTTTGTCAGCAAAATTACTAACTTCATATTCTGTGATGCCATCCAAAGCAAATAATGTTTTCAATATTACAATAATAAAAGCCATGGCACGACCTTCATAATTTGGGATGTAGGACTTTTTATCAAATTTCATCTTTGGAGGGGACAAAGCCACTAATCTTTCTCCGTATAGCGATATGCCCCCTATAAATAATATTACATTTTTGTTTTCTGTTATGCATATGTTGATTTTGAAACGTGTGAAAAATTAACCATTAAAATAATATGTTTATACTTGGTAATTCTAATTCGATGCAATATCGGTTGATAAGTGAGGAGAAATTTGGGCATATTATTTTTGTGACTCCAAGAAATGTCGCCATACTTCCAATTATTCTTCTCATTCCCTTGTGCGTTATATCCATAACTCGTGATAAGAAATTTAAGTCACTTCTTTTCAAAGTTACTTCAGGAGGGATCAAGTGATCCAATTTATAATAGGATAAATGCCCTTCTCTTCCATATCTTAAAAAAAAAAATATATAAATACATAAATACAGGGTGTCCAATGTTAAATTAAATCCAAAATCCTTTTTAACAACTTCAAATATCTCTTGAACAATGCATTTTAAAGACATATTTCAGACAAAAGTTCTAGGATTTCAAGGGGAACATAATTGAACATTTTTTACACAATAATGTGAGAGAAATCGATCACTGATATTAATTATTGCATATTGGTGCATCGACACATTTGTAAAATGTAATAAATTTTTTTTAAGGTCTCTCTATGTTTGCTTACGGCGATCAATTCCACCTGTCATTCTACGTATAAAAATGTTAAGCTGATATTATCGAAAAGTGAATATTTCATAAGATATTTCATATCTTATAATGAAAAATATTAGAATAAAAATATCTCGAAATGTATTTACTTTTCGATGATCTTACTAGAGTATTTTTATATGCAGAATGAATAAAGAAATCGAATTGTGTTTAAAAAAACCATGATTTTATTAAAAAAATTTTTTTTTATATTTTAAATTTTAATCTTGAAATGATCTAGAATTATTGACTATATAACAAAGTTAAGATCACCACCTTATGTTCCTCTTGAAACCCTACAACTTTTGTCTGAAATATTTTACTTTAAAACGCATCGTTCAAGAGATATTTGAGGTTGTTACTTAGAATGAGACAATGTATGTACAGGATGAACCGCGCAACGTGATCGGCTTAATTTATTCTGCTGTTAGTGGACCGCTTGAAAATTTTTTTTGTTTAGTATAACAACTGGTGCAATAAAGTAGAAAGAGGCACATATATTTTATCTCGCTCTAACTTACTGCATTAATTCAGCAGTGCAGCTAAAAAGAACGGACCAAAAGTTATCACGCTGTTTATATAAGTTGACGCGCACCATTCGTAAACGTGCAACCAAATAAGCTAATTCGACAACTTTGAATAGCTTTCATTTAAAAATTATCATTTGAACGCCATTTTAATCAAGGAAAAGATTGCTCGTTTGGTACCAAAAATCTCCCGGTGCATTTCACATGTGATTATTCTGTATATGTACATTTATATAAATACATTGTACGGCTGTTACATGTACATACATGTACATTTATAAAAATACCTAACAATTAACGACACAACATTCGTGTGTAAGTAGAAAAAGTCAAACGGAACAAAAAAATCCTGTACTATTTTGCAAATTTTGCAATAGTTGTTAAAGAATTAATTAAAGAATACCAGTGAATGAACGCACGGAAAGCAATAGGACAAGTTCTGTAAACACGGTCTAAAATTAAATGTCTCAAATCTGTCGACAACCTTCTGGTTGTCTCGCAATAGCGGTTAATGTGTGATGCTGGATGTCTATTTGCCGGGAAATCAGGAAACAAACTCAAAATATTTCTTCAGCCTTATCTTATAGAACTTGTTCCAAATCAGACATATTGATTCACCTGTTTTCTTTATTAAGGCACTGGAGTAGTTAGCCAAGAACTTCGCAATGATGACACAGTTTAGAACAAAAGTATGAACCAATAGAGTGCGGTCCGGCAAATGATACAAATGTTTCAGAGTTTCCCCTTCTTCTTTTGGATCCGAATAAAGAAAAAGGAAGAAGGAAAAATGAAACATTTTAGCGCTTGCTGGATCACATCTATATGCATAAAGAATGGCGTATTGACGAAATTTTTCTTACGTACTTTCGTTATGTGCTTTATCGGCAGCTGTAATTTGTGACTTATTAAACCCGTAACAATAGACAAAAATGAAGATTAGTTTGGAATTTTCAACAACTGTGACAATGTGTTTTCCTACATAAATAGGCCTTATTTCACGTGCCTTTTACAGCTATTTATTGATTGTTATGAGAGGAAAGGAGAGTTTTTGTCCATTTTTACAAATGTCTTCAAGCGATTTCAAGTGTTATTTTATTCAAATCTCTCTTTATTTGCAAGTGGGACGCAATATTTCTCAATGTATCATTTCTCGCATATGACATCACAAACCCAATAAAAAATTATTTGCCTCTAAAGTGATTTTTATGACATTATATCGAATATACAAATGATGTTCGACACAAGACGCCCCAAGGCAATATGGTCGTGGCAACTACTCCAGAGCCTGAACGTGTCAATAATTGTGATTGTTTGCTTAACGGTAGAGGAATTTTTTGTTTAGTTTATTGTACTTGCACACGAGCGTTGGTAGCCTTGGGGCGTCTTGTGTCGAACATCATTTGTATATTCGATATAATGTCATAAAAATCACTTTAGAGGCAAATAATTTTTCAGCATATGAGACATAAATTCTACACCCGGAAAATATTAATATGAGAAATTATTATTATTTTTAAGATAATATATACGAAATTATCTCATGAGAAAAAATTTGAAGAAATAAAATATTTGTAAATTACCTTAGCATGTCGCCTAACTGCATATCATTATTGTGGATTCTTAAGGCCAAATATAAGATTGCCCATAACTTCATGGGTGTAATTAACTCTGGTCCCATTTTATATTGATTAGTTATGTAACTTTCTTTATATTTACTGCGTTTATTTCGTGGTATTTTCTTCGCCATGTTTCTTACTTTCCTCATTTCATCTTTAGCAGAAGAATTGAAATGTATCCTGTAAAGAAAATATTGAGCAGATGCCAAAGAGCATGTAATATACTTTGCTGTTTATATACTTATTTATATTTTATGTCTGTTTCATAAGTTTTATACCTTCCATGGTTCTCAGAAGATTGCCCTGTAGTGAACTGCGCACTGTAACCACTTTGATTAAATCCACTAAGTGCATCTCCATCTGAACTTGCTTGTGACTGCATTAACCTATCATAGTCAGCAGTAATCATAAGTCTCTGAAACAAAGGAATATTATGTTTGTGACTGATTTTGAAATCTAATTTTACACAAATGTATATTATATACATATTTAAATTGTATATCATACTTTATTCCTATTTAATTCTTTTAAAGAACTTCCTTCACTTTGATAAGTAGAAGCTTTAGAACTTATTACACTATCAGTTTTCTTTCGTTTTCTAGTTTTTTCCTGGGTGAAAATTTTACCATATATAATTTCAGCATCTCTGCAAAAATATATCATACAATCAATCATTATTCTTATTATTATATTGATAAGCATCATAGAAGAAGTGAAATACACAGATCCAATAAATTAACAAACAAACAAAAAAACAAACCAACAAACACACATATACACAGGGCAAAGCACCTGGCTTGACCACTTCAAGAAATTTATAAATTATACTTTATATGAAAAATTGTAATATACAAAAGTTATATGACTTCGAGGGGGTCATCACATAGTAAATTTTTTTAATAAATGCAGACGCTCGGAGATTTTAAAGTCAACTTCGTTTTTTTTATGGGATGTTATATTTTTGTACCATTGCTAGAAAGTACGTTTAATTTTGCGTTTAAATATATTATTATTAATTGGCCTAAACAGACTAGATAATGAGATATTCAAGGAAACAAAGAGTAACAAAAAGTTGAAGATTTAATATCTTGGTT